CGGCAGTTGAGGCTTAATGATTAACAAGAAAAACATCTAAGTCTAAATACTGGTTTTCAGTCCTGTCTGTGGGACTCTGAGCTCTGCTGGGTTTCACTTTATCCATCTAATCTGGGACTCGTTACACCTGTAGTTCAAGGTTCAGTTCCTCCGATGAGATGACTTATGGTAAACCCTCCTTGACACGTGTCATCTTGCGTCTAACCAACATTACTTCTCAGCTTAGACATGAAAGGATGAACATTGGTTGTGGTGCTACAGTAAAACTATTACAACTCTGTCACATTTACAAGCTTAAAACAGATTCCTGTGTGTGTGGTATTATATTAGCTGAGTGTGGAGCTTCATAAACAACATGCAGGTACATTTTCTTTCCTGAACAACAAGTCATCTGGTATGAATGGTCAATCAATACTGTGTGGTCTGCAGGGTTTATGAGCAAAAGTAGTATGGAAAATAAGCAGCTCTCAGTGTCGGGAGGTAGTGCTTTATAATATGTAATATGTTGAGTTAGAATTAGACCACAAGCATTTGTTTTAACTGAGGACATGAGGTTTTGTTGCAGCCCCTCATACCCACACAGGTGTTTTTCAGGTCATCCTGTGTGGTTAGACCTCTGCTTATGTTATAGTCGGCAGTTAGGTGAGGTCACTAAACTCAATCAATCATTGTGTCAATGATAAAGGTGTAAGTTGAGGGAGTGTCCCAGAAAGTCATAATGGAATATTGCCATTATGAATTTCAGTATTTACACCTGTGCATTAATCTTTTGTAACTCTAAAAGTCCAAAAGGCCATTCACAACCAGGCAGTTGTTCTCCGTTGTCCTGGCGGATTGGACATCTGCTTAGTTTGAAGTTGAGTGGAGATGTGTTGGGTATTATTCGAGGTCACTGGCTTTGCTTACTGGGACACTGAAATGGAACAGAGCTCTCATTAATGTAATTTATTATCAGTTAGAGCTTTTCCCAAGTCAAACTGTCAAAATGAAAAGGTCTATAAGAAGGATAAAGGTGTAAATTGAGTGAAATGTAAATAAAGTCTAGTTTATACACACACAGTCCTGTGGAAATCAGCTCTAATCAGGCAGAGTAAATGAAAACCCCTGTGTGGGTGGACCATGGCTGTGTAGGGCCCAAATGACATGTATCTATAACATTACATGAAATATGTCTTCATAATAATAACAAGGATGATGATTATCTTTTTGTATAGCAGCTTTCAAAGCTGAGTGCTAAGTCTGGACAAATGGTTCTGAATACATCATGTATGTTGTTGTATTAGCTCCACACCTGCTGTACTCAGTTTACATAGATTTTATTGATGTTTGTAATTGATGCTCCTTTCCACATTCATGAATTAAATATCACCTTTAATGCAGTTGTATTATAGCACATGTTGATGCTTGAAACACTCTATCTTTCTTCAGGTCTTCTCTCTTCTGGATCTCATGCGCTACTGTACGGGCGTGTGCCTCCAGATCGCCTCTCACCTGCGCATCCAAGTCTTCAGCATCACTCCGCCGAGCCGGGGCCACCGCGACTGACAGCTTGCCCGGCGGGAGGAGGCGGGGGTAGACGCAGATCTCTCCCCGCTACTGAAAGCAGACGACCACGATGGCGAGGAGAAGTCCTCAACCCTGAGCCACTGCAGCCTTGACAAAGTGACCACTTCTGATTAAAACTGCCTCTCCCCTACCAGAAGGAAAAAAATAAAAACAACTCGACACTACAAACCAAAAAAAAAAAAGAAAAAGAAAAAAAGGTTTTGGAAAGCATGGATCTATTGAATGAACAAATTAAATGGGACCAGAGTTTCCCTTAAATTACTCATTGGCTGTTGTAGCCAATAAGTTTTAATTTAAACATCAGTGCCAATCAGAAAAATAAAGTTTAGAATTTTACATCAGAAGTGCACTCTTAACACTTCCTGTTTATTCAACTCAAATACCAAAATATTTTCTTTAACAGGTATTTTATTGCTTGGGCAGATATCAATGCATTTTTATCTGCTTTAAATTTACAGACATGTGGGATTGTCATATATTTAAGACTCATAAATGTACGACAATCTCAACTCAATAAGGTAAAGCTCTTTGATAAATGCCCAAACTAAATGGATTACCTGTTTAAAGTTTTCTTAATAATTTGTTTTTATTTATTCAATGAATGTGACTCCATGGAACATAAATCAGGGTTTGAAAATACAGATTAAAATTTTTAAATGACCTTTAAAACCTCATAATTTCCAATGAAGTTTGCAATGTGGACTGGCAGGTTGTCAACGAGCTACGTGGAAGGGTGACGGTCTGTGTGTTAGTGCTGAAAACGACGACAGGTTTTCTATAAGGCTTTCTCTTACAAACATCTTTCTATTAATATTTTATTCCCTGTTACTCATCTCATCCTACAGTCCTGGAAAATAAAATGAAAAAACACACCTCACCTCCGGCCTGTAGAGTGCCGTCGACTGATGAAGCACCAACGCACGACTTGTTCTGCTTTCTCTGTTCTTCTCCCTGAAGGGCTAATAATTATTTGTGATTGTACAGATTTCAACTGAAGACGCCTTAAATATTTTTGTTGTAATTACTGTTTAACTTGTGAATATTTAAAACGGCTTTGTACGTTCTTTTTTTCTCCACTGAAGTTTCATCCCAGATGCAACGATAGTAATAATACAACTCTACTGGAGGGTGTTTTTCTCTTTTTTTTTAACTGTTTGCTCATGAAGTTTCTTTACTTATACACATGTATATTATGTATAGGTGAGTGATTCATTTGGATCTTCAAGATTTGTTGGATTATCAGTAATTTTATAATGATGGATTATCACTGAATAGTTGTAATCTGATTGAATCATTATTCAGGTTCATTGGGATCAAAAGGGATATTTCTGTAGTGCCGGTGAACTATTTAAGGGTTAAAAAAAAAAAAACAATTGTATTATTGAATTTTATTTAGAAAAATAAAATGATCTTCCTCTCAGATTCTGCTTCTGCAGGATTACGGACGTTGTAGAGGGGCATGTCCTAAAAAGTTGGGTTTGCATAATTTACAATGGACTTTGGAACTATGCATTAAAATGTACAGCCTTGATTTCAACACCGTGTTGCACTGTTCAATAATACAGTAAAACACCTTTCTACTAACAGATATGAGTGGAAACGATTGTAATAAAGAAAATATTTTTCATGTGATTTGTTGTCAGTGATGAAAGAAGTACTCAGAGACTTTACTTAAGCAAAAGCCACAGTTAAAATACTCTTATAAGTAAAAACCACACAGCAGTAAGGAAATTGGCCCATGTAACAGATATTGTGATATTATTGGATTGTTAATACCAATGAATTAATGTTGAAGAACCATTTTACTGTAGCTTGTTTTAACATATGTATATAGTCCAGTGGCAGTCAGGCCTCCTCCAGAGGGTCACAAGATAAGATATAGTTGTGCTATACACATGGTAAATATACTGGTTTAACATAAGAATGTTAGCATGTGTGGGACTTTAAAGTACCACTGTGCTTAAGTGGCATGGCTATAAAGTCCTATTTTGGTAAAATATTGGATCATTTAACCACTTTGGGCATCAAACACACATTTTAATAAAACAGAAGTTTAGAAAACAAATGTCTCTTTGGTGGAACTGCTAACGATTCACAGACAAGATACAGATTTTTCTGTACACTGTTAATCTAAAAAGTAATTATTGTTGTCACATATATATATATATAGATAGTGGAGTGAAAAGAACAATATTTGAAATGTAGTGCAGTAGAAGTATGAAATAACACAAAATAGAAATACTCAATTAAAGTACAAGTACCTCAAACTTGTACTCAGGTTAACGCACTAAGCTATATTCACATGATAAATGACAAAAACTCCAAGGTGACTGAACCAAACACATTTTATTTCAGTCAAAAGGAGCCATTGAACTGATGCAATCTGAGGAATTCCATTCAGGATATGTTACTCATCATCTCGCCTGCTGACATCGACTTTTACGTCACATGACTTTATGGCAGTGGCAAAACACTGACAGCTTCTAGTAGTCACTTCCGTTTTTTTGTCATTATAATAAAGAACTTTGTAAAACTGACATTATGAGGAAAAAGTTGGAAACAGTTGATGAGCGTTGCTTTACACTCTGCGGGCATTCAGATCAGATGCATCCATCACGGGGCTCACGGTCACAATAATACAATCAAAATAAGTTACAGAACATGCTGAGGGGGTCTGAATTTCAGACAGTAGCGAGCCTGTTGAGTCCCACAGGGACACACATACAGGTGGCTATGAAAGCTGTAGTATCATTTACATGTAGCTCCAACAATCAGTCAACTTTGTACTGCATTAAGAATGATAATCATATTATCCTATATCCCATTCATTCTCATTGTAAATCACTAGATTTGGGCGTGATGTGGCAAACATTTATAATAAGACATTAAAAAAAAAAACCAACAGGAGATAAACAAAAATGTTCAAACAAGCAGGAATGAACAACGAAGGCACTTCAAGTTTTTTTGTTTTTAAAGACAACCGACAAAGATATAACCGCCAACACTTAAATGAACGTTATCCATCCTATATGTACTTTTATCCTCCATTTCGTTGAAATGGAGACATAACAGTAAAGGTCAAACACAACCAGGGCTGCAAGTACCGTTTCTTTTCTTTTTTAAACAAGCAAGTACCGATTATTTTTTCAATTAATGAATTCATTTTTTGTATAAAATGCCCATCACAATTTCCCAGCACCCAAGGTGACATCTTCGAATGTTTTTTGTTGGACAAACAGTCCGAAACCCAAAGATATTACACTGATATAAGATATAAAAAAGAGGAAAAGCAGAAAATACATTTAAGAAGCTGTTACCAGCAAATGTTGGGTATTTTCCCTTAAAAAGTGACTCAAAAGTGTTTGATTGTTTTCTGTCAATCAACTTTCATTTCATCTACTAATCATTTGAGCTTTAAACACAAACGTTTGTGGATTTTATGGTAAAAAAAATGCTTGCTGCACACACACACACACACACACACACACACACACACAATGAGTGCTGACCTGCTGTTATCAAATGTTTCACACTTTTAACAGCACATCAATCAATGGCACGGTGAGGGCAGAACATGAGGTGGTACAGCGTGTAGGGAGTGTTTGTGTATTTGTAAGTGTAAGTCTCAGCGGAGGAAAAGAAGATTTACAGGCTTCTTCTTTCTGGCTGCCATTCCTTTCATTGGCCAGCCCCATCCATCATCTTCTTAAAAATGTTTCATCGCCATCTCGTATGAGTCTCTACACCTCGTCCGCGGTGATGCAACACAAGCACAGGAGGGCCTCAGATTCTTGTTTCCACCCAATCCCTCTGTCTGAATCCTCTCCTGTCTTCTCCACTGAGCAGGAGAGAAAGGGTGGACGTTCAAGTGAAGATAAGGGAGGAGAGGGAAGTCTTCCTCTGTCACACCCTCTCAGTGTTGCTGTCCCTGTTCACTCTGCGACGGGGGAACAGCTTCCGCTTTAGCAGAATCAGCTGCAGGGAGAGGGAAGAGAGGAAATGGCATAAATACAAACTGCATGCAGCTAAGGAAAGTGAATTTAAAAAAAAAAGTTAACTGTCAGCTAGAGGATTACGCTTCAAAATACATTTAGCTTATTTGCTTTCTCGCTTAAAGAAAGGCTAGCTTGGCTCTGTCCGAAGGTAATAAAATCCACCTATCAGCACCTCTAAAGCTTACTAATTATATCTCACTTGTTTGTGCTGTATAAAGATGTTAAAAAGGTCATTTGCTGTTACGACGTGTTACGTATTGGATTATTTCCTGACCGCAATCAGTAACTTCCTGGAGTCTCAATTACTATGTACCACCGGCACATATTGACATTTTTTTAGACTTCCATTTTTGTCCAAATTAATGAGATATAAAAGGAGTTGTGAGCTTAAGAGGTGCTGGTAGTTTCCCTGTGTTTCCAGTCTTTATGCTAAGCTAACCAACTGCTGACTAACATTAACTTCATATTAATGGAAACAGATAAGAGTGGTATCGATGTCGTCATCTGTATGCACTCTGAAGCAAAAAGAAAATTGGCATACATCCCGAAATAGTGACCTGTTCCTTTCAGATAATCAACACTCACTCAGAAGGACTTTGACACCAATTCCCCACCCCCCTCAGATATTTTGTAACCCAAGAACACAAAGATAATTTTAAGAGTAGGGCAGCAGTGTGAAATCACCTCCCACTGGATTGAAGACACTTTTGATCTCTCTAAACTGTACAAAGCTCACTCAAATGTCTCTATCTTAATAACCTGGGCAGCAGGACAGCCTGGCTCATAAGGTGCCAGAAAGACATCAAAAGTCTGTTTGTGTGCGGTGACAGAGACACAAGTCTGACACATTCCTAACTGGGAACACTGGTCCCACGGGTCGCTGTGGGGGAAATTCTCCTAAGGTCAATGCAACTATTAACCTTTCTTTAGGTTCGCTGAGGAGAAACTGGAAACCTTTGGATTAGGGAAGTGCCTCATTACATCTCAATGTCAAACCTGGGCCGAGTAGTATTTGTTTAACAATTCCTGGCATTTTCTTTTAATCCCTGCCCGATACCAAATTGGAAGAATTTGACAGGAAAGTTGTCCAAGAACACTGTCATGGTTTTGTAATTCTTTGCTATCATGTTCTTGAACGTTGTTCCAGCTAGAAATCCCACCTATCTGGCAACAAAGAAGGTTAAAATAAATACAAACACTGTATGATCCAAGTCAACAAAGACAGACAACCTCGCATTTCACAGAGGACTGCTGAGGGTCTTTCATTTCTGTAAAGTCAGGCCCCGGCTCAGCTGGTCATATGAGCACGACACATGAGATGGGTACACCTCCGAGCGGAATTTCAGTAGCGAAAGCCCAAATCATAGCTCATGTGTGAATCATGGAAACGGAGACAGGTGTGTTACCAAATGTCCTGTGTATCTTTGACTGAATGTCTAAATAAACTGTGTGTGGTCCGAGGTGGACACCACTGACCTGTTCAGCGAAGAAGGACATGATGGTGAAGATGACGAGCGTCACGAGGACACAGTGCGTCCAGAACTTCAGCTTGTCTCGATACACTCGCCTTCGGAGAGAAAACACATTTCAGGTAGTTTTAAATAAAGAACTTATCCTTAATCACCCAGTCCTACACCAGGAGGCACAGATTCAGAAATAAAATGTTTCCTGATTGGGAGACAGAAATGTCGGAGGTGGCACGTCTCACTAGAGGGGAGGCTAGTTGTGCTCTGATGTAACAAGTAGGAAACATGCAGTATGCAGAGGGCAGCAGGGCAACAGGGTGACAAGGTGACATCACCCCACGCCATCTGCCTGTTACTTTACCAACTCAAAGACAGGAGAGGTGGAGAGGCTCAGCTATGTCATGATCTTGCAAGTATCTTATAGCTAGCGACTGATCTGTAGCAGCTTGGTCTAATTTTAAAGGCTAGCATTCTCCAGCTGAATACAGGAGCTGCCTGACAAAAACCCTCTGAAGCCCCCGAGGGATTCCCACTGTTCCAACCTGGCAACACTCGGGCCCATGTGAGGACAGCCACAGATTCTTAACTTAAGCCGTTAGTGGAAAAAAGAGCTTGATAAATTACTGGCTCACGTGCGACAAGGACGCTGGTACAGTACTGGAGCAGTATGTGTGTTTTTTCAACCATTAATTAGGAAAAGGAATGATTATTACATCATTAAAAATAAATGGTCAACAACTGTAATAATCTACATATTGTTCAAGTCTAGTCAAGTCAAGTTCTTTGTTTCATATCATTGCAAACTGACTTTGACTTGACTTTCATGACAATCCATCCAATAGTTGCTGAGATATTCGAGTCTGGACCAAAAGTGGTGGACCAACCGACCATCACTGTGATCCCTAAAGCCATGCTGCTAGTGTGGATAATAATAGTTGCAGCCTTTATATAATCAACGCATCAAAACTTCTCTAAAGTTAATATCCTACCATTCCTGGAGCTCTTCCATATGCAAGAACCTGTTGCGATACTCTCTGGGCAGTTCAAACTGGGACGGCAACGGGAACATGGACTCATAGAAGTCTCTCAGCACAGCTTTCACTGTGGCGGCGTCCTTATGGCTGTGGTCGATGTTATCATTCAGACAGATGAACTTCCTGTTGGGCATAAGTGAAAATAGAGATGTTATTATAGTTTAACAACCAGTATGGTAAAGGCGTAAACTTTGGTTGCACCACATAAAAAGGGAAAAAAATGAAAGAGAAAGAAAAAGTGATCTATACAAAGTCATTCCCACCTGGGATTCTTCCTAATGTCATCTAACTGGCCGACCACATGGGACACATTTGTCCGCACCATCTTGAAGGCTATCTCCTCCTCCCCCATGATCTCAAACCTGTCCAACAGAGCACATGTTAGCAGCAACAGCAAAGCTAAACAAGGAGAATATTTGAATTTTAATACACTGTCAGACAAACTAACAGCACATAAGATCCTACTTGTACTTATTCTGCTCTCTGAAGGCTTTGTGGATGCGTTCTGTGATGGGCTTGCAATGGAGGATGAGGCCTTTGGTGACAGGAGGCTGTGGGTTAAGAACAAGAACAGAACATCAGTCAAATAATTCAGCTTATAAAACAAAAGTAAAAAGGAAACAAGTTATACTCAAGTATGGCTCACCATGCTGGGGTCATAGTAGGCCTCCTGCGTTGGGTTCACCAGGTGGAGCCGGGTCAGGTTAGTTGGGAGAGTCTTAGAGCAGTTTATCAACATCTGCTCCAGGCCTGTCAGGTCCTAGAAAATGCAACAAAGAAATATTACACACAAGTACATCAAAACCACAAGATTTTTTGTAAATCTGACAAGTCTCAAAGCCTTATGTGAGGTAGAGAAGATATATCAAAGCCAGGACCAACCTGGAGGCTGAGTGGCAGCTCGTGGATCCTTGTGGCGAGAGTTCGAATCTCCCGGTCGGACAGGACGCCTGAATGGTCGGTGTCAATCTCGTCGAACACCTCAGACACATTGAGCTGCTGCTGAGCACTCATCAGGAAGTAGAAGTACGAAAAGGCGAACTGCATGTCCTCCGAGTGACGAACACGATGGGCTGACGTCTTGTCAAACTCTTCTGGGAATCTGAAGAAAAGAGCGTGGAGAAGTTGAAGGTGTTGCCTCTTCATTAACTCGTAAAAATCGTAACAAATAATCTTCATCACACTCACGTGTCCTGCAGCTCCTGCATGATGAAGCGGTCGATCATGTGAGGCATGTGTGCGGGGACTTTGCGGGATGTGAATCCGAACTGGCCGTTGAGAAGCTTGTTGACATAGCGCAGCGAGTCAGCAAAAGTGTCCTGCAGCCTTCGGCGGGTGGCGCCACCATCAGTCGCGTACAGCAATTCTCTCTGCAGACGCTCCCCTTCCTGTAAGAGTCATCAGAATTTATTTAAAGAAATCAAAAAGCTTGACTAGAAAAGTGGAAGTTGTACGCCCTACTTACCTCAAGCTGTTCCTGGAAGTATTTCCTCCTCTCCCACGGCAGGAAGCCTCTGTCTGAGGAGATGAAGTGTTGGAGTCTCCTCCCCACTACAGCTCCTCCTGCAGCGTCGGCTGGCTCTGCCCGACTCTCTGCGCTCTCGGTTTTGGAAATGCTGCTTAGCAGCTTGGAAGTCATTGGCCTCTCGATTGCAGCTTTTAGATTATGTTTGGGAATCTCAAAGTCTTTTTTATGCTCATCATCAATTTGGACTGTGATAAGAGGAGTGACAATTCTTTCCTGCACAACCACGTCTTTCCTGGACATTTCTTTTGAGTTTAGATTTTTCTGAATGGTTCCTGCTTTCTCTTGCACGTGCTCTACCTCCAAGTCCTTATAGGGCTTTCCCTGGACCTTGGCTGCACCCTCATTAGCTGGATGTGAATCGATGACCTGCTGCTTTTGAGCCAGTGCCTTGTAAGGTTTTAGAAGTTCAGCCTTTGTGAGGTTATAACCCTTTATAGTAATGTCACCAATCAGAAGCTTCTCATCCAGCTTTTGCAGCTCACTGCGCACGACAGCTGGTAGAAGTGACACATTTAGTGCAGGAACTTCTATGACAACCTCAGGTTCACCAGGCTGCCTCTTCTGGATCTTAGGACCCTGTTTGTGCTCAGGAACATCTGAGAACGGAAACGGTGGCTCTGGAGTCGGAGTCGGCTTTGGCTCTTTGCCGGCGTCTTTGCTCGCAGTCTTCGACACGTTAGTCTGAGGTACTTCGCGGGTGTCGACAGCTACACTGAAGCTCATTTTGAACTCGCTGTCGTCTTCTCTCTGGAAAGTGATGTTGTACTGGATCTGGGTGGCGTTGTGGCCAGGATGGAGCAGCAGGTGAATGGTCTTCCACTTGTTGGCGACGGAGGTGTGGCGAACCGCCACATTGTCGCTGACATGGGCCTCGGAGACTCTGCGAGCCAGTGTGTTAAAGCTGAAATATGGCCTGATTTCACCTACTGGGAGGGTGTACAGGCTCTGATTCCTCAGCAGGGTCACATGGTGCAACTCGCCAAAGTGCTCTACAACAGAAATTAATACATGTTAAAGGCTAAGGATAGATTTTTGTTTGTACCAACAAATCCCAGGAGAAGACCAAAACCAAATCTGATTGACTGACTCAAAATAATATACTGTGTCCATGTAAAGGAACATGTCACCCACTTTAACTGCATTTCCAATGGATGTTTTTAATAGTTTTAGACTAGAGGTCTATGGCACAGAGGAATATAAATGTAAGATAAGATTATATCAAACTTTGGTTACACAGACAATACTTGTTAGTAGGATAAATTCTTTTAGTTTTGGTATTTTCATGGGATTTGTTGACAATAAGTAAAGTATAGAATATCAGACCTATCCTTTAACTCCAGTTATTGTTATAAAAATTGTGGCTAGAAAATATCAACACAGTATGTATCCTCTAATTCACCTTGGCCACAGTCTCCCACATCGAAACCACAGGAGAGCACATTGCAGGCTTGGTCACAGAACTTGTCTGCCAGCCAGGAGTTGGCACAGCCTTGATTACAGTACGACGTCCCCCCAAGACCTCCTAGACCACCTGCAAACTGCCACACCTGTCCACCAGCTCCACCGGGACCGCCACCACCGACCCCAGCCCCAAACCGACTATTCCCTGCTGAACCTGTCAGAGAAATGGAATAACATATTAGATATGATTTAAACAAATTATCTTATCAGTACAGGAGAGATTATTTTGATCTCTTTACCGACGCAGTCTCCTCCATCCCAGTCACAGGCAGAGTTGTTGCAGGCTTTGTCGCAGTACCCATCTTTGATCCAAGATCCTGGGCAGCCCTCGGCACAGTTGGGGACAGGCCAGGTGAGATACACCTGCAGGGAGGTGAGGAAAGAGAAGATTAAAGGCCAGATAAATGCCAACTGATTGATTAGTCTCACAATCCCCCAATGTTTTTACACTAAAAGACACAGCACAAATTTAAAAATAAACTCATGAATTCACACCTTCTGTCCTTTCGAGTGGCTGTAGAAGTCGTCCGGCCAGACGTCCTTGCCAAACATTACATCATCATTGAGGTAAATGAACTTTTGGGAGAGTCCTGGGATGCGGTGGATGTGGGTCTCTATGGCAGGGGAGCTGAAAGTGGGAAGGTGGCTGTTGTTCTGGAAAATATCCTGGAAGTCAAAGAAAAACATATTTACGTACATATAATAATAGGCAAAATATATAATTACCAACTGGTACAAAGCACAGTTTCTGTGACAAGTACATGTGCCTCAAAAAGAGACTTCAGGAAGTTAGTTTGCTAAGTTGACTGTGTAAAACAGAAATTATGCTCAAATAAAATGAGACTTTAAGTGCTAAAGTAAAATGTTTAAAACTCATGAATATATAGATAATGTGGTCTGTAATCTGTATCTTTCTGTTTCATTTTAAGACATTACATAGGGTTAGGAGTCAGTAAAAAATATGCTGAGCAGCCAGAATGCAGTGCAGTGTGGGAGAGGTCAAGCCTTAAATTTTACCTGATGTGTGACAACCGTAACTCTGGGGTTATCCAGGTTGAGCCAGGAGGGAATCTGCCCGTTGGTGACGATGAAGATGTGTCGCACCCAGGGGGCATGTCTCTCCACAGAGCGCAGCGAATAGCGGAGCTCCTCGTTGTCCTCAAACCGACTGGCTGACACGTCTTCATCCTGTTTGGACTGGAGAAAAGAGTGAACAATAAACACTGAGACTCAGGATCTCAGGGGGTGTTATTGCTCAAAATGAGCAGGTAACTGGGTTTCCAACATATCATATGTATTCCAAAATCAATAAACATGTCTTAAATATGCATAATTTAATAGTGAGGAGAGATATTAAGAACCAGTTGTACCTGTGAGATGGCGGTGAGGTCCCAGAACAAGTAGCCAGGCGTGATGGTTAACTCTTTTCCATCCAGGGTCAGATTCTTTTTAGCCTGCTGCGTCAGATCGGTGAAATCCTGCGGGGTTTTCAGGTGGAGCAGGGCGATGCTGGCCTCAGAGTACAACTCAAACTGAGGGACAAATACACAACAGTAAGGTGTTAATTGCTTGAAAGAATCGTCTAGTGGTTTGGAGCTCCATTTCCATAAAGTTTGTGGACTTGAACAGTTCAAATTAATGCATCAGAGGTGCAGATATCCCGACTTTTTGTCCCTAGTATGGGTCAGGGTCCAAACACACTGGATCCTACACTTCCCATAAGGCAAATCAATACTATCTTTTGTTAGACCCTCTCTACCTGGCAGTTCCCATTTGCTTTGTTGTTATTAACCACAAGAGGAGCGTGGCAGAGAATTAATCCCTGACTTTTCTGTGAACTGTGAAATTTGGTACTTTTGATTTTCAAGGTCCTAAGAGGACAAATTCCAATAATTGTGATATGGCGCCATCATTAGGCCATTTCAGTTTACCCAACACTTTGGTTAATGGCCCCTATTAGTATGCTGATGTTTAACTCCAAGCACCAGGGACAGACGGACAGATTTCTGAAAGATTGGGAATTAAAATGACAAGACACAAGGTGACTTCTGACCCTGCAGATAGAGAGGTAAAATCAAAGCAGCTATGATGCCTGTGTGGAGGCATCTGCTGGCTGTTGCAGTCTTGAGACGGAGTGATGAGAGAGAGAGAGAGAGAGTGAGAGTGTGTGTGTGCGCGTGTGT